AGAGAGAGAGAGAGAGAGAGAGAGAGAGAGAGAGAGAGAGAGAGAGAGAGAGAGAGAGAGAGAGAGGACGCATCATGCTGGAGTGAGGGTATAAAGTTGAAAACCAAAGAGAAGGCATGACTGCGTGAGTGGATAGAGATGCGTGCAGGTACCAGCTTGTCTATGGGGGATCTCAGTATGGAAGGAAGGACGTAGAATGCTCTGGGAAAGGACACATCCAGCTCCGTTAGATTGCACCTGACCGTGCAGCCGTTCAACGACATGATCTATACCTTGTCGTACTCGAGCGCAGGTGCATTCTGACAGGCCCAGTTTTGTCCTTTCCGGACACAAGGGGCTATTTATGTCCTTCGAGCTCTTTTTGTTTCCCTGGGTCCCACATATCGGTTTGCCTTATCATGGTTTTGGGTGCGGAAAAATGGCTCCAGGACATCCGTTTTGGCTAAGGTCAAGACTTAGTGTAGTTTTTGTTCTTGTCAGTGTAATATCTGATCCGTGGTCCATTGGGGTAAAAAAAAAAGAGAAAGATCGGAACCATACGGAGAAGATTAATTAGCATGGCCCCTGTGCAAGGATGGCACGCATGAATCGAGAAATGGTGGTCCCCCCCAAAAAAATACACAAACAAACAGGCTCCATGCGTGGAATGAGGGGTTGATCTGTGCCAAGAACTTAAGATTGAAGCCCCTGCATGGGAGGCAGCTTCCGTGGCAATAGCATGCAGGGCGCTCATCAAGTGGGCACGGTGGCAGACAAGGGGACAAGGTCCATGAACAAGGTGCACTGCTGCTGCCCTTTTTTTTCTTGGTGGTGCTGTCTAGGAGGGAAGTACTTGTGGCTGCTGCTCAGATACGTGTGTCATGTATTGCAGGGATTGCATTGCCAGGGGGAGCATGAAGATGATGAGATCGAAATGGCGGGGAGTCGTGGAGGCAATGGAAGCATCAGCCAGCTAGCACTGCAATCTTCACCCCAATAGAAAGTCCAGTCATTATAGCCGTATTTGGGGCAACTTACAGTCCAGATGCGGTGATAATGACCTGGCGGTCTGTTCGGGCAAAGACCGGAGACCATGCAGAACTGACACAGACAGTGAACTCTGTATGAATATGAATCACTGGCATGAAGGACCGTATCACACAGCATATAGCCCGGAGTGATCGCACTCCCTCAGGCGCATTGCTACCGTCATCCCCCGAACACAACGCACCCTGATCATGATTGTATCTGCAGTACTATACAAGCTATTTTTCAGGTCAGGTACAGGCATGATGAGGGTGTGTTGTGTTCGGGGAAGACGGTAGCGCAGAATGCCTCCTTGTTAGCCAAATTCAAGAAATTCAAGTATACAGTGGTGGTGAAACTGAAATCAGAAGCGCATTGTGCTCCCCTGTGACCAGCCGTGACTCAAGGGCAACACAATGAGCAGAAATGACATAGCAGTCATCACACTTGGGCAGAATATTGGCATTATCGAAGTCTATTGATGAAGAACCAACCTCCCCCTCACTTTTGCGTCAGTTAACAAGAAGAAGAAGAAGAAGAAGAAGAAGAAGAAGAAGAAGAAGAAGAAGAAGAAGAAGAAGAAGAAGAAGAAGAAGAAGAAGAAGAAGAAGAAGAANAAGAAGAAGAAGAAGAAGAAGAAGAAGAAGAAGAAGAAGAAGAAGAAGAAGAAGAAGAAGAAGAAGAAGAAGAAGAAGAAGAAGAAGAAGAAGAACAACAACAACAACAACAACAACAACAACAACAACAGTGATATACACAACCGGTCATTTCCCCGATCGACCAGCCAATGCTAGGTTACACTGCTCATCACCCTTGATGCCAAAGTCAGCTAGCACAACGCTGCTCCACTGTTCCTGTGTCATGTCTGATTCCCTTGACACAGCTAGGTAGTCTCAGTCCCCGTCCCAGCTTCTTCTGTTCCTGTGTCGGCGGTTGGGGTCATATCTGCTTGCACAGTTTCAACTTGTGGGAAGACTAAGGGCGAGATCCCACTGGCAAAAACGATTGGAACAAGTGTCTGAAACTGGACGTGTTTGTGGAGAGGTGCAAAAAACAGTAATTGATCTGCTTTTCTGCATCTCTTCCTGGAACACGTCCTGATTCAGACACTTATTCCAATCCTCTTTGCCAGTGGGATCTGGCCCTAAGGCTAGGACCTCACAGAAACGCGCTTTGGAAAAGTCTTGAAAAGTCCGGAAAACATAATTCGTAGCCTATGGGAACGGAAAAGGAAAAACGGACCCTAACGCACAGCAGTTTTCGGGACCGACCTTCCTAGCTTCTTGTTACCTGATCAGGAAGACTTATTCTGAAGTTCAAGCCGACTTCCGCTTTTATAGCATTCCAGCCAATCCCAGTGCCTCCTTTCGGCACGGGATGGCTCAACAAAGAGGGTAGGCCAGCCCTAGTGATCTGGGGGCCCAGTCCCTCGCTGAACGGATCAAAGGTGCGCCGGGGATAACAGGCTGAGCCAAAATCCACCCATTCCTTTTGCATTCACTTGGCAGGCCAGCCCCAGAGTTAGCGGTGATTTAAACTGCGAATACCTTCAAGCCTCTTTTGCTACAACTCCCTTACACCTTAATGACATCTTGACCTCTGTGGTGATATCTTTGGAATAATCCTTTGTCTTCTGCTGGTGAAAGGGTCATGTGCTGGATTGGAGCGAGGTGTGCGTGTGAATTGCCTGTGTGGCATTACCTGTGTGGTGTTGTGTGCGTGTGTGAGTGAGTATAAGACACTACAGCCATGCAGCGGTGGGGTGGATATCACTACCAGTATGGTTCCAAGGTGTCATGGCTGTAGTGGTCACGAGTCCTGGCTCTCGCGACTAAGGGTGCCGGTCCGATTCCCCGCTTGCACGGATGGCCCCCCCCAAAGCTAGAAAGTACTGATCGGTACCTACTTCTGCCGGTGAGACTGGGAGTATGCAGGGAAGTAGATGATGTGCTGGCGATCAGATGGGCCAATTGTGGTTGGAGTTCGTGGCGCCGGCAAAGTACAGCAGGGGAAAGATACCTCCTGAAGTTCACTGGAGAGCTGGCATATCATTTTCTGGTTTTGCACACAAACGTTCAACCGTATGTATCCCTTACCGCGATCTTGAGTCAATCTCTTGCTCCAAGTTGAAATTTTGCTGCGCAGGTTTTTTTTTGCCACAGAGTGGCATAAAATTGACTGCGATCTTGAGTCAAGCTCTTGTTCCAAGTTGAAATTTTGATGTGCTGCCTGTGCAGGCTTTTCTTTGCCACAGAGTGGAATAAAATTGTGGAAACACACCGCATGGTACAATGTCTGTTGTCCAATCCTCTTAGAAGTTAGAATACCTAATGAAGTTCAATCCTAAAGTTAAGTTAGTTGCACAGGGTACACTGCCACTACCTCCCCGCCTCTGCTGCGAAACCACTGGCGGTACCGCGCAGGCACCAGTGGTCTTTTGCCAAACTTCCCAGGCAGGCAAGCATGATTGTCTGTAGTATCTGTTCTAGTCAGTTTAATATCTGATCCCCCCCCCGCGAAAAAAAAGGGGGGAAAAGAAAGAAAGCATGATTGTCTGGTTGCTAACCCTGTGGCTGTGCTCCAGTGCTTTGTTGATTGCAGAGACCAGTGGGATTAAGGTAGTGCGAATGAGGATTCATTGCACTTAACCCCATTACACCTTGTGGGAGTTGATTGACCATCTTGCTTTCATAGCCAACTTGTGCCAAAGCCGACCTATCTGGCCAGCCCGGGTGTCCATGTGGCTGGCATTTGGTGATAACAGCAGGCAGGAGTGGAGTCGAAAGCCCAGAGGATCGATCACATGGTGTGCATGCGTACATTACTGAGCAGGGGTGGCACAGTTCCGGGAGATGTGATTAATGACTGGGAGCGAGGAATCTCCGCTGCTCGGACGATGAGTCACCAAGCTGGGGGAGTACCATTGGTTGTACCATGCAGTGTGCCATGGGTGGTATGCTTCCATGATGCAAAAGCAGCAAAACTGGATTTGCATACAGCTACGTGGAGTTTGAATGCTTTGACCGATCGAATTGCTGGCAGCTGCGTTCTAAATGACACGCGTCGCCGAGGATGTCTTGCACGTCGAGAACGCAGTATTGCAGCAGGAGGACCGACTGCAGATGCAGTTTGGAATCCATCTGAAAAAGACCATACCCTCGCAGAGAAAAGCTCCTGCTCCTGCTTGCATACTACCTCTGATCTTGCTGTTAATTGGAATGCTGACGAGAGTCGCGGCAATGGTTCTCACAGCAAAAGCAATCAAGCCAGTGAATCACTGGCATTCTCCCGCACTTCGGTTAAAGACATCATGGCAGTGCATCTTGCGGCTGAGGAACAGCTTTCAGCCGATAGCGCACGAGGGTATTCATCTGAAGATGGGCCTGAGCCTAGCATGCAGACAACCACCGTCCGAGATGATAGTGGTGAGGGCCACCTGCAGGCCAGGCAAATGGAGGAGAGAGGCCTCCAGTTCTGGATTGGGGATGCCTTCTACAGGGCAGAGAGTGCACTCTCCCGAGATCTTTCCACATTAGCAGCTGCAGTTTATCGCGATAAGCATGGGCGACTCACTGTCATTGATGCTATGGCGGGATGCGGAGTGAGAGCAGCACGTTACCTGAGTCAGGCGGGAGCTGACTTTGTCTGGGCGAATGATGCATCCATTGCAAACCACCTGCCTCTTGTCCAAAATCTGTCCAGATGCTCTCAATTAGAGGCCTGCAATGGTTCTGCAAGGACATTGGGATCGGGACCTGAGGTTGAGTGGGGGATGGAAGCAGCCACTGAGGGTGTCGCTCCGGGTGGAGACTCGACATGGCGTGTATCGCATGATGACGTTGTTCGAGTGCTGTCCTCGCGCAGGTCTGGTCCCTCTAGGGAAGACATAAATGGAGCTGCGAATGTCAAGGATGACCACTTCGACATTGTTGACATTGACTCATTTGGGTCAGATGCGTGGATGTTCTCCAGTGCACTGCAAGCAGTTCGATATGGGGGAATGATCTATGTGACTTGTACAGATGGCCTAACTGCTGGTGGGCATCAGCCACTCACATCGCTCGCATCGTATGGTGCGATGGTACTCCGATTGCCTTATGCAAATGAGATTGGTATCCGAATGCTCATTGGTGGACTGGTCAGGCAGGCAGCAATGTGGGGATTGCATGCTTGGCCTGTTTTCTCTCATTATTCTTATCATGGGCCAGTCTTCAGAGCCATGATGAGGATCCAAAAGATCAAAGGATCGCATTCGTGGCCGTCGGAGTGAGTGCTATGCTCTCTCTCTCTCTCTCTCTCTCTCTCTCTCTCTCTCTCTCTCTCTCTCTCTCTCTCTCTCTCACACACACACACACACACACACACACACACACACACACACACACACACACACACACACACACACACACACACACACACACGCGCGCGCGCGCGTAGATGCTTCAAACCGTATCTCTGTTGATTATCTCTTTCCCAGTTCCGTATTACGGTCTGTTAAAGCCTTGTCTTTTCTATGAGGCTTGAAACTTGACCACGTTCCATGGAATCACAGAGGCTCCTGGCATTTCTTCAGGCCATGCACTGCAACACCCTGTCCGGGTTTAACCAGCAGGCACCACAGTACAATTGGGAACAAGCTTTGACAAGAAACAACAAACTTCAATCAGTGAATCAAATGCATTTCCAAAAAATGTGAGCTGGCACAGGTACTCTACATGTATCAGCGCAAGGGGGAAGGAAAAAAAAATCATCGACGGGTGAGGAGTTGAGACCCCAGGGAAGACCCAAAACATGTATCTGGCACTGAAGGGCAAAAGCGAAAGGGGTCCAAGAGGCAGCACTTCCCAAAGGTTAAACCGCTAGTACCTCTGGGCCTTATTTCATTTTGCGATGCGGATTTCTGCTGTGTGCTAATGAAAAACGAACTGGCGTGAAACACTGAAAACAGTGAAAAGCCTTTTTCCACCCATTCTGGTCCGGTAAACTGACCCACCGAAAGGTGCGGTGCGTTAAACGGTGGCGCCGGAACACAATAACTTGGAAAGGTACTGGCGGTTAAAATGGGAAGTAACGGGGCACAAGGGGCTTAACTTCAGCAAACTGATTAGAAGGGCAAGGCACATGACTGACATGAAAGCACCCAGGGATATGGATGCAAGTTCCAGTGTACTGGGGGGATTCATATGCGAGCGATCAAGGGGCACTCAAGCCACCATTACTTTTCCAAGCCATTTACCGACGTGGCTGTACATGCGCTCAACACCTTTGGGGAAAGGGGCGGCCTTGGCAGGCCGTTGTTCCTTTTTCGAGCAGGCCCTGCTCGTACCGTCCTCCTTAGGCGGTCAGAGGTTTTTATGACCCGTCATAAGGGCCCTCGCGGCCTACCGGTGGTACGACAGGTTCAGGGAAACAAATAAAAGAGAACACTGAAAAAACAAAGAAAAATAGCAAGCACTGTCCATACAACCACGTACGCGGTTGCTGTTACTGCGCATGCGTGTTCGGGATTTTCACTCCATGTGCAATGGTTTAAAAGTTGAAAACCAAAAAGTCGCTGCTGGCAAGAAGAATATTAAACCGTCCATCGCCGTCCGCGTCAGTGCTTTCCAGGCCTGTGATTGTCTGCATGTGTTCGGGCTAATGATTCGTCGACCGTGATCAATAAATCACACACACACACACACACACACACACACACACACACACACACACACACACA